CACACACACACACACACACACACACACACACGTATACACATAACATACACATGCACACATACACACATACAATTTATTGGTGTCTCCATGACGACATAGAATGATATTGTCATCAAAATGTATATTATTTGTCCAATACTGAAATAACCAATATAAAATGTTATCATTAAATTTCATACATACACATACACACAGACATACACATATATATATATATGCTTATTGTTTATTTGTGTGGCATTTATTTGTACAATGTTTGATGTTATGTAGTATTTTGATTATACACTATTTTATTTGTTTATTTGTATGATAATCTGTTATTGTTAATTGTTATTTTTTTTATTATTCACTTGTATGGTATTTGTTTGTATAATAGTTTGCATTGTTAATTGTAAATTATCATATCATTCACAATGATGAAAGCAGACGAAAAACCATTCCCTCTTATCAAAATTATCCAATATGATTTAGTAATTTTTCATAATCAATAATAGCATAAGTGAATTTTTATTCAAATTTCAACCCCTCAATCTTATCATTAAATGTAATAAAAGGAGCGGTAAAAAAATATGAAATCATTGTTTTGTTAAATCGTTGATGTGAATATTTATTATACGCATATATCAGAATATGTCGGATGAAACTAACGCGCGAATAGTACAAAAGTTAGAAAAAATGAGTAAAAAGTATATATTTTGAAAATAATTGTTTTATTATCAGATTAAAATAATGAATAAGTTTAGTTTATATTTTGCCTATAAATTACACATTTCACTAAGTAAGTAAGAAATGATATATAAATTCAAATAACTCAAGTAATAGTTGAATTTTAACTTAATGCAGAAGCTAGTATATAATTTTTTTGTTTATGAAGTACAAAATTTACAGCTATAATATTTCGAAATTAAAATATAATAGCAAATAGATTAAGTATAACAACAAATAATCTCACATAATCTTTTAACTTTTTGCGTTAATAATATTTTATTAATTTTAATTTCGAAATATTTGCGAATAATAATAACTCCAAAGAAAAAAATTGAAATTATTAAACGCAAGCAAGCAATGGTTGGACGGATTAGCAATCAATGGAACGAAAGAGACAATAAATAAATGAGTAAATAAGTAAATGCATAAACAGTCAAAAGAAGTAAATGAGTAAACAATTAAATAAATGCATATATAATAAATGGGAAAATTTCTAGAAGCCAAAATACAACAAACACATTAATTTCTCTCAGAAAAAAGGCAAAAAGCAGATTATTATCTTCTCTTCCCGCATCATCGACTCAACGACATTTGGGCAAAAGGCGAACATTTACAACAAGTATGGAAAAAATTGAAATTAATTTTAAATGTTGGGAAGGAAGAGAATGAGGATGAAAAGAAAGGATTGAAATTTGCAATTTTTAACAATGTAAAATGAGGAATATTTAAATGTTGAAATTCGTAAGAAATTGAAGGAAAGTAGAAATGAGGTGTATAAATGCGAGAATAAGCAAGTAAATAAATAAATAAGTAAGTAAGTAAATAATGGGATACATGCATTTAGTCAACTTGTTCAGATTCAAAATTAAGATTTTTTTTTTCAACATTTTTCTTTCTTGAACTATGCAAAATTCAGGAACTAATTAAGATTTTATTCAACTGTTTTATAATTTCCTCTTTTTAGCTATTTCGAATTAAAATTTTAGTTAACTGTTTCATAGTTTCTTCTTTTTAATTATTCCGAAAGAAAAAAAGCTCTCGATATTCAAAAAATGGACATTTGTTTAGAATTTTGAACCAGAATTTTTTTCATTATACTGTTAACATCTAAACTGATAATATCCAATATATGGTCATACTAAACTGATAAAATTCAATATGTCGTCATACTAAATTGACAATATCCAATAAATAATCCCATTACATTACTAGTTTTAAAGTTTAAAGTATAAATTGCTTGTAATTTTTTAATTTTGAAATTGATGATAAATTTTTAAATATTGCAGAGCGTCATTTTGATCGTAGCACGCGTCGTTCGAGTAGCAATTTTAGGGGTTATCGTGATCATCAACCTCATCATCGTCATCGTGTTAGCATGAGAGATCATTTCAGTACATTATCATCAAAACATTCTAACACCAGCACATCTGCCACTAATACTGCAGATTTTAACTCATCCCAAATAATATTATCATCAAAGAAAAATATGAAAAGTGAATCAAAAAGTGATGAGAAAACAACCGCAGAAGAAAGAAAGGAAAAAATGCAAAAAGCGGTGATAACAGAAAAATTATTCATTTTTTTTTTTTTTTTTGTAAATTATACAAAAATTCAATTAAAAGTTTAATTGAATGGGAAATTAAAGTGAAAATTTGCAATTTTTACTTGAAAAATGTAAGATTTTTGAATGGAAATAATTAAATTTTGGATAATTTTGGAGATTGTAAATTAAAAATGATAAATGCATTTATTTCATTTAATTAATCATTTTTTTTTTCTTCTTCTTCTTCTCTCTCTTTCTCTCTCTCTCTCTCTCTCTCTCTATCATATTTTGCAAATTCAATTTCTTGAAACTTTCCGTAGTATTTGCATAGCTACTGAAAAATTAAGACGAATTCTAAATTTTAATTTCCTAATTTATTTAAATCATAAAATTTAAAAGTTCTATTTAAATAATATCATTTTGTTTTGCTTTTTTTTTTCATAGATAATATCATGGATAAGAAATGTATTGGCGAAGGGAATTAATGGAATGAAAGAAGATTATGAGCGATTGAATCGAACGCCAAATATGGCAATCCTTTATGGATCACCCGAGGATGAAAGGAATCGTTATCGAGTAAAAATTAAAATTCATTTAATTATTATCTATTTGATTTTTTGAAATGAGAAATTCACGATGTAAATGTAAAAAGAAATTTTGTATGCAATTTTAGCAATTTAATTAATTTAAAAATATGTTGAGCTTTAAAATGTAACATTTTTCCGATTGCTATCTCGTAAAATGAAAACGATGCTAGCTTAATTAATATTATTATGTTAACTTTTAAATAAGTATTTTTTTTTTCTTGTAAATTTTAAAATATTTCATTATATTAAAGCTAATTAATTGGAGTGGATAGAAAAAAAAAAATTTTTTTTTTTTTTTAATTCTAGGACATTGGATGTATTGAGAAAACACGTGTTATTCTCAAAAATGTTGACGTACGAGCAAATTATATTCATGCTAATTTCATTCATTCTGGAAAGCATAAAAAGCGTTTCATTTGTACACAGGTAAAAAAGAAATGGATTTCTATTTTAATAATTGGGAAAAAAAAATTAGTTAAAAAAATAATGTGACTAAAATTGTTAATGTCAAAAATGGCATGCCATTGATTTTTGTATTTGCTAATTTGCTAATTTCATTCATTTTAGTCTTCAATAAATTTGCATTATTCATTTTAAATAGCAAAACATTTTGATTGGTTGTATTTGATGAATTTTAGGCTCCGTTAGAAACGACAATTGAAGATTTTTGGCGGATGATATGTCAAACACAATGTGAATACATTGTTATGTTATGTGATTTTGTTGAAAATAATATGTCAGTTTGCGCCGATTATTGGCCACGTGAAGAGGGACAACGAGCCGAATATGGCGATACAGAAGTGAGAAATTTTCAGATAAAAAAGGTTCACTTTTTTTTCTTTCAAATTTTTAAAATTTTAATGTACTAAATAAAAGTTTATTAAATGAGAATATAAAAGTTTCAATGCCAATTTTCATTATTTCATTTTTATTTCCATAGATTTATTAATTTATAAAAGGATTTTTGAAAATTTTTGATGCGTTAAATAAGAATTTATTAAACGAATGAAATTTTGATGTGTTAAATACGAATTTATTAAATGAGTAACAAATTTCGCAAATTCAAGCTTTACAAACAACTTAATTTGCAAATTCAAAATTTACAAATAACATCGATTGAATTAAAATGCAGCATGTTTATATTGTAAAATGTTCAAATTGTACAAATATTATTAATTCATTTGTGTAAATTCGTGTCAGCAAAGAACAATTTATGCTAAAAAATTTTATTTTAAATCCTAAATTAATTAATTAATCAATACAAATAAATTAAAAATGTTTGTAGACTTTGAATTAATCATAAATTCATCCGTATCATTAAATAATATCGGAAAAGAATTAAATAGCATAAAATAAATAATTTCATATGTTTAATATTACAGATAGAAATACATGAAGATAATGTAAATTATACGGCAATTAAAAGTAAACTTCGTATTATCTCTCGGTTAGGACTTCATAGCTGTACGCATTTTTATTGGCCTGAATGGACTGATCAAATGCCACCACCATCATTTGAAATGATACAACGAATTGCGAAAAACATTAGACGATCAAAGTATGCATCATTTATGCATATTTTTTTGACATGACCTTTTTATCTACTTATAAAAGATTCGTCTTTTTTTTTTCACTTTGCTATTCAAATGTTTTTTT